ACTGCAACCTCTGCCTCCTGGGTCCAGGCGATTCTCCTGCCTTAGCCCCCTGAATAGCTGGTATTACAGGTGTGTGCCACCAAACCTGGCTAATTTTTGTATTTTTAGTAGAGACAGGGTTTCACCATGTTGGTCAGGCTGGTCTCGAACTCCTGACCTCAGGTGATCTGCTTGCCTTGGCCTCTCAAAGCACTGGGATTAGAGGCGTGAGCCACTGCCCCTGGCCTACAATAACTTTTTAAAGTACTTGGTCAAATGCTAGCATCATGTATTGCCCATGGTAACGGGATGATAATTAGGTGCTATAAAAATACCTCAGCAAAGTAATTTTGGAGTAATTCTTAGTTTATATTTTCTTTCTCTTTCCTCTGACCCCAAGCCTTTTGTAGCCCTCATCCTCTGATGGCATTTCCATTATTTTGGTTTGTTTTTCAAGTTCTATCAGTAAGCTTCTGCTTCAGATTCCATACTAATGCTAGCTGGAAAAAACAGACCTTCTCCTATACAAAGAGTCCACAAAACTGGCCTCCAGGTGTATATAAATCTCCTGAAGTTACATGCAAAGTTCTTTCTGTGTATATGTATAACTGGAGACCCAGAGCCTTCTTCCGCTTCTCAATGGTTCCATGGCCCAGTTATGTTCTGCTGCACTATGGCATTTGTATATAACATTCTAGAAAAATATGTTTAAAAATAAAGCCAGGCCAAATGGTACTATGGTAAGATACTGACACGGCATATGAAGTAGCATAATGTGCTTCAAATGTATTCCATAATTTATAGCTAATTATTATGATCCCTAGAACAAATACTAAAAAGAGAAAAATAGCTAAAAAGTAAACATAGATGCTAAAATAGAATATTAAAGATTATAGGACCTACACAAAGAAGGTAGGAAGGGGCAAACCAAAGAACAAATACCAAATGGAATAAAAGAAAACAAAGAAGGGTGAGATTAAAAAACTATATTAGTTACTATAATGAATGCAAATGGATAAATTATTCCACTTAAAGGGCAAAGATTGTCAGACTGAATTTTTTTTAGCAAGATCACCTATGTTCTCCTTACAAGAAACATACTTGAAATATATCAATACAGGCTGGTGGAAACTAAAAGTGCAAATAAAAGATACTCTATTCCATCAGTAGTTTCAAGAAACATAATGCAGCTATTAATATACCAATATCAGAAAAAAAAAAAAGCTTCAAGACAAAGAGTAAAACTGGAGACAGAGAAATTTCATAGTGGTAAATGAATCAATTCATCAGGAAAACTTAATAATCCTAAATGCATATCTGACTAATAACAGCTTCAAAATATGTGAAACAAAAATGGAATACATCCTAAAGAAAAAAAATAGATACACACCTGGAGATTTTAACATAATTATTAAATTAAATCCTTGCTACATAATTGACAGAACAAATTTTTAAAAAGACATGCTATCGTCTCATTTCCTGGTTGTATAATTTTCCATCATTTTTGTGTCTATGGGAGAAAGTTCACTTTTAGAAATGAGTTATATTAAATAATTTCTCCTTCTTTATATGTTGCTTTAAGAAGATATTTTTAGAAGAGAGGAAAGGTACCTCAGTGTGAAACTGAGAAAAGGATGTGTGTAGGAGGGAGGGAGAAGGTTCTTATTTGAAGAGTTATTTATTTATTTATTTATTTATTCATTTATTTTTATACAACATCAGTTTGTACCTTTTTCTCTTCCCTGCTTATGACTCCTCTGTCCCTACTCTATGTTCTTCAGACTTGTGGGTTTTATTTTATTTTCTTGCCTCAGGAAAAACAATTATCAGTCTGAAAAACAATAGATCAGCAAGAAGAAAGCAGCCAGATCAGGTAGAACTTACCTGCTGCAGTTTCCCAGAGACCCATGGCCCATGCTTTGCTTTCTGGAACCTTTCCTTCCAAAGTGGTGTCTGGGGTCCGGATCTATCACAGCGGCTACTTCACACAGCTGCTTCTGGCCACAGGCTTGAGACTCTATACAAGAGGCTGGTCAGCGTTTTGGGGGATCCTGATGGCAAAACAAAAGTACAAGACAAATAAAACTGTCGGCTGGATGAAAACCATCACCACCCAGGGAGGAATTAAAATAAATAATTTGAGAAGAGTCATATAATGTTGTTTTGGGGAATCATTGAATCTCAGATCTGCCAGTGGTCTTGAAGCTCAGTTAAATCAGCTCCTTCAGTTTACAGCTGAGGAAATACAATTCAAGATGGGGAGTGCTGTGTTACAATTCTTGCTGTGGGTTTAAACACGATCCCAGTGTAGAACCCAGGTAGGGTGATGCCAAGGCAGGGTTCTTGCAGTTGGGCCTCCACAGGTGGAACAGTGAACTGTGCTTCCTCTATGAGAATGGGGGTGGTAGGTTGGCGGGGTGCAGAACATCTGAACCAGAAGTGTAGGTGATAGTCTAGGCCCTGAAGGACTGGATTTTCCTTGCCCAAGGTTTTCATCACATACCACAGCCCACCCTTCCCAGAAACAGTGTCAGCACATGTCTTGCTCCTGTTTCCTATTCCCCAGACCAGAAAGCCAGCATAAATACAATAACCCTCCCAACAAGAGTGCTACATGGTCCTACCAACTGCTTCAATACTCCCTGTCACTTTTCTCTCAGAATCTCAAAATGCTGACCCATTTCTCTGGAAATCATAATTAACAAAAGAATAAAACAGCAACAACAGCAGATCTTTGGGACATGAATTAATTATTATATGACCATTAATTTGAATATGAATTTAAGTTTCTACTATGGACACTACACAATATTTCACAGGAATTTTTGCTTACAATATATTGATGGGATGTTTATATATGAACTGGCATGCTATTTCTAAGAAGTATGCCAGGACTATGCATTTTCATAAACAGAGAGAAAACCAAGTCACAGAGGCTTTGACTTGCCCAGGTTAGAATTTAGATTTCCTGGCTCTCTGCCTTGTACTCAGAATGGAGTTGTCAGAAATCATGAACTACTGTTCAGAGACACTTGGCACTATCTTGCTAAAGTCTAGGTGCTTGTGATGCACGTATTTAAGAGCTAATAAGGTCGCTTGCCCACCCACCCCCACCCCAGTCTCATTAAATGACCTTTAGTGCAGGCACAGGACAGAGATGATGTTGCCCTTTGTTTCCATAAGAAAGATGGGTTTCTGTTCATAAGAAAAATGGCTCTCTGTATGTGTGTGTGCGTGTGTGCGTGTATGTGGGGGGCTATTACAAATATTTGGGGGAGTTGCATTAAATAGATACAAATATTCCAATGCATAATATATTTTTGCCTATGTCTCAATAAAATGGATGGGAGCATGATCTAGCAGGAATGGACTCCAGAGTCAGGCCTAGGTTCAAATCCTGGATCAACCACTTGAGAGCTCTGTCACTTTGGGAAATCTATACAGCCTCTTTCATCTATTTCTTCAGCAGTAAAGTGGAAATTTAAAAAGGTGTCCCTACCTTGAAGTTTGTTTTCTGTGGATTACAGATAATAAATGTGGAGTGCTAAGTGTTTCACGGTATGTGTGCTCAACAAATAGAATCACACAGCATTACTCACAGCTCAAATTGTGGTGGAGCAATTGCTGAGCGTGCAAGACTACTGACCATTCTTGCAAAGCTACTTGGCATAAGGTATATTTAACTTATTGCTCCAGAGGGATGTTGAGGATCATCTGCTTGAAATAAACAAATTCAATTATTCTGCAATGTAGTGGTCTAGAGCAATTCACTTGCTACCCAGAGGTGTGTAATGAACCCATTAGAACATTTTGCATATTCGGGGCAACTGTTGGGGTGTGGGATAAAGCATGCATGACTAATTCCATAGGGCTCTATCTAGAAATTCTGAGAACACTTTCAGACTGAGAGCAAACCACAGAACTGGCCTGGAAGTGAGGAGGGAGACTGGAGGGAGAGCCCTGAGATTCTTCTGCTGACTCTAGAGGTCACCTGACCCTGACACATAACTTTTACTGAGTTGACTATATCTCACTTCCTGTAAGTGCCTGTCCCTCATACTCACTTTCAAGGACTTGGCCAATCTCCTTTTGTAAATAGAACAATGCTTTATATTTCTCTATTACTCTAGAGTGACTATATCAATAATGGAGGAAACGCATCTGTCCAGCACAATGAGATTATTTTTCTGATTTCGGTTGACAGTTATGGTAATAGTTTGGCAAACAATCTACTCCACCATCAATGACCACAGATTACAGCTGTTTTTAAAAATCTCAGCCGCTTCTGGAAACTTGGAAGATGGATCGCACACTGAGAGAGAGATGGAAAGACATGCCATAAGCCGTAACGGTAGAAAAATCCTTAACTCTTTCTGTACATAAAAGGCTAAGAAAATATTAAGAAAAGCACAATGTGCTATCTCTGGGTACACTGTAATGAGAACAAGGTGAGGAATGACAGTACTGAGACACCGTTAGGACAGTCTAACATTGCCACGGGGGCCATAATGCAACAGAGAGAGTCTGCAATATTTCAGAGCACTGCATTTTATGTTGATAAATTTTCCAAGTCACCCAGGAGTTATTGCAAATATTTACAGGAGAGAAAATTGAGAAAGAATATTATCTTCCCTATTGGTCTTGATGAATAGAGCCACTAGCTAGTCAATAATAATGACCCAAGCCCAAGATTGTCATACGTTTGTTGAAAAAATAAACAATAAAACATGGTTTACCTTTACTTCTGCAAAAGTGATGAATAAAAGTTGATTTTTAAAAATTGGAACTTCTTAAGTCTTAACAACATGAGCTTTTCTTAAAAGTTCATAACAACTCTTAGAAAGGTTTGATTTTTGACATTTATTTTCCCCCTGTGGAATTTTTCCCTTTACTTTCGTTTCATCAGAAGCAGAATGCTGATCTTGCTACTGGCCTGCAACCTTGGCATTTGGCCAGCCATTGTTATCCAGGGACCAGGAGACAGAATGCTGGCTGTGCAAGTCTCCCAAGGTGCGAGCTTTCTTTCTGTCTGAGTTAGGAGGTGAAACCATTTGGAAGAGCCATTGTAAAGGGGAGGGCTTTGGGCTATGCATACTCCTCATATCCAGGTGAGTTCATTTTTCCTGTGAACTTTTCACCTAGGCCCCAATTAGTATCCTATTAACCTCCTTAAATATGGAATTGCTAAGATCTTAGAATACTCCAAAATGGACTATTAGCTAGCCCATTTCCTGGCTCCATCAGATGAAAATGCCAAAGTAGGTCATACAACAGAATTATCTTGATTAATTTCAGCTCTCTTGCATGGGCCATGATGTCATGCAAGTTAAAGGAGATTCAAATTTAATGCATCATTTCGATGACTGATTAAACGTGGGATTTTCTGAAAAACATTTACAATTCCAGGTTTATAAGGATTCTCCTTTTTTAATATGACAAACATTTCAAATATGCTAAATTGATCAATTATACAAATGATAAATTCCCTTGAATATAATTTTTCATGTTCATGTTCTCCAAGGCCTAATATGTAAAAAGGTTTATTATCCCCAGTAACTACTGTGTTAGATAAAAAGCTGTCAGCATTGTGCCCCTTTCCTATCCATGGATGCAGGCTATTGAAAAAAAAAAAAAAAAAAAACCCAACCAAAAAAAACTATGAAGATGCCACATCTACTCCAGAGCCTACTCAGAATGGCATTTCCAAATATAAATGGCTTTGCTAAGGCTAAAAAAAAGCAACAAACTTTACATCCTTTATCATGCATTCCTAAAGGACTCCCTTGAAAAAAGTACTTAAAAACATTGTATCTTGGAACATCTCATATATTGGTGCAATTTATTTACAATAGTCGGATTTAATTTGTTTTCACGTATAAAGCAGCTTTAGGGACTTATTAGCAATTTCAAATGTTACAGGAAAATATGTTGAATCTAAAGTTCATTATCACAAGTAAACTTATTTAAGTGAGATTATTTGTTTCTTAAAATGTGTAAGATAACTAGTTCTTTAAAAGGCTTCTTGTTTTCTGTTGCATAATTTTACTTAGAAATAAAGCTTTTGGATGCAGCAGTTACGCTCTAAAGTCAGGGCTGTGTCTCTTTTGTGTTTATAAGTAACATGGACACAGCCTGCTACTATAAACACTGAACCCAGCTTAAACATGCCCTGTATTTTCCAGATGAAAATGCAACTTACTTTCGTGATTTAGGTTATGAAACTTTAAAACGATGTCATATTTTAACATGCAGGGGTTCCTTCCTATAATAACCTGCAATGTATATTCATGTTTGCAATTTCTAGCAAGAAGTAAAATAACAGATAGCTTTTATGAAGCATCTGTGAACTTTGAAAGTTCCACTTGTCTGAATCAGAGCTTCATAGACACCCACTTAGCACAGACTGGGTTGTGCCAGGGCTAGAGTAATTGCCTGCCAAAGGGATCCTGACCACCCCTCCTCTTCTTTCTGATCAGTCCACTGATCACTAAGAAACCAGTGGTGAGCTACTACCTTTTAGAACATTAATAAATAAAAGAGCTTGCCACGATCAAAGATAAACATCCAACTTCAGATGGATGTTTATGCTACTGAGTCAAATGTAAAGTTCCTAAAAATTAGGGAGCTTCAGGACCTCATATCTCTACTCTCTGAAATTCAACTTTTCTCAGATTCAAAACAGAGGGATTCAGCTTTTCTAGAAATCTATGTGTCAAGGTGCACATATCTGTCATCAGAGGAATTCCATCCTCATATTCTAACATCAGATTATTCCAATACATGTTCTATTCATTGGTTGCCTTAGTTAGAAAATTAGGCAAAATTCTAAGGCATGTTTATGTGGTGACATAAAGAAATAATGTGTTTTACTAATAGCGGTTAGAAAAACATCATACTCCAGGACTTTAGTCATTTTTTTCTCCATCTGAGAATTTATATGAGTCCCTTTAACTCATTTATGTATATTCTAAGCATCTTTATCTATTCATGCACTTTCCAAGCAATGTGACTTATGTGTTGTATGATTAAAATGTAGAAATTAAAACTCAGGCCTCGCGCAGTGGTTCATGCCTGTAATCTCAGCATTCTGGGAGGCTGAGGCAGATGGATCACCTGAGGTCAGGAGTTTTGAGAACAGCCTGGTCAACATGGTGAAACCCCTTCTCTACTAAAAATACAGAAAAAAGAAAAAATTGCCGGGCGTGGTGACACATGCCTGTAATCCCAGCTACTCCAGAGGCTGAAGCAGGAGAATCACTTGAACTCGGGAGGCGGAGCTTGCAGTGAGCTGACATAAGCCACTGCACTCCAGCCTGGGCGACAGAGCAAGACATTGTCGAAAGAGAGAGAGAGAGAGAGAGAGAAAGAAACTTAAACTCAGAGATTTAAAAATCACACTGGGCCTTTCTGCCCACTCCTTTACTTTTCAATTTTATTTCATTTATTATTATTATTATTATTTTTGAGTCTTGCTCTGTCACCCAGGCTGGAGTGCAGTGGCATGATCTCAGCTCACTGCAAGCTCCGCCTCCCAGGTTCAAGTGATTCTCCTGCCTCAGCTTCCCGAGTAGCTGGGACCACAGGTGCCCGCCACCACACCTGGCTAATTTTTTGTAGTTTTAGTAGAGATGGGCTTTCACCATGTTAGCCAGGATGGTCTGGATCTCCTGACCTTGTGATCTGCCTGCCTCACCCTCCCCAAGTGCTGGGATTACAGGCTACTTTTTATTTTTATAAATTGTAAATAAAGTATTGTTTATTTGTTTATAAAGTACAAAATAAATATGCTAGTTTTTAAAGAAATTAAAATTAAATAAAGTTGGAGACTCAGTTCCTCAGTCTTACTAGCCACTTTTCGAATGACCTTTAGATTCAACAGATTCTTATTCTTCACTCCAACACCTTCCCTCTTGCAAGTTGCTAACACACCGATGTCCCAAGGGAGTACCTAAAATACCAGTCTGCCCAGGTAAGTATGGACGCACTCCTTCAGCCTGGCACACAAAGTTTCAGGAGCTTCAGCATCAACTGGCACAGCCTCCTTCCCCATGCTATGCCTATTCCCTTGTGACTGCCTGACAGCAGCACTTACTCAGGCTGTTCCCTCTGCCTGAGCAAGCGGTGCTTAGAGCCTTGTGTCTTCAACCCGTACCTAAGCATCATTATATATCTCTTTCCACTTTCTCCTTCCCAAACCCTACTCTGCACAAAATCTAACACTATACTCAATTACAATATTTGGACATTGACTTCAATTCCCTTCCCTACTGGTCAGTAAACCCAAGAGTAGATTTTACAATGGATTTCTTGGCTTAATTCAGTGATTGCTACAAGGTAGATGTGACATGAATGGCTGCTAAGTCAAATAAAAGAATGTCCTCTGCTCCCTGTTGACCCTACAAGAAGTGGGCAGGTGTGAATGTCTGCATCCCTGGCAGCGCACAGTGTGAACTGTCTCTATGTCTCACTATCACAGCTTCTTTCTTGTCTTCGGTGAATATGACAAGTTAACTGAAAACGTTGACTCCTCTGAGCCTAGTGGAGATCTTACACTGTTTGACTCAGTTACTTCCTTAAGTCTGCTCATGCATTTTTTCCTGGTTTATTCTAAGCTCCTCCTTTACAAAGTATCAGACATAGGTTAGGGCTGCCTCACCTTATTTTAACAACATTAAGAGAGATGAATTTTCAAGAATGAGACGAGCCAGTGAACTGTGATGGCAGAGTAATCCCATTACTTCCAGAGGACTTGAGTATGTTAGAATCATTCAAGTGTCGCAGGGTTGTAGTTTAAAAGGGAAAGGATATGATAGTCGCTTGGGGAGGTTGTTTGCTTCAAGATAGAATTCCCAGTCTTGGAAGGGTTGTGTATCAAGAGAGGCAGGGTCGTTAGGGAGTTCACTGAGATCATTAAAACAATCCAAAAGTGTTTGCTAAAATGGGTCAAAGAAGTTGATACCACTTATGTCCAGTTGTCTTCTGTCTGGGATAAGTGGGCTTCTGTTTCTAAACAAATTAATTCTCTCGTTTTGATTCTTTCTATAGTATCTCTGATGTGTTGGTATTCAGCCTTTTCAGAGTTAGGATTCATGGGGAAGGTTAAAGGGAAAATTAACAAATGTGAGAAAGAATGGCCCACTGAAAGAACCTTTCAGAAAAAAGGAGTAAGAAGAACCCTTAAATATTATTGATGCATCACTGGAATCCTTGTAACTGTATTTCAGTGTTGATCTTAAATGTGGGTTACATAGAAATAGAGAGTAACACATATTTTGTTGGAATGATTAGGCTCTAAAGAAGTGTTTCTCACAGTTAGGTTTTCGGCCTTTTGGTGGGGCTGTAAAGGTCTTCTAGAAGGGCCAAGAACTTACCCCAAGTTTGATCTCCTTCTGCAAATGACATGAAATTCCATTGGAAGTTGGTAGCTATTAAAAGAGTTATGAAGAGTCACTAACATGTGATATTGATAAACTAAAATTAGCATGCTGAGGGAGTTTACTCTAGACCTTAATCTAGTATAGTGCCAGGAAGTCTGGCTGCTACAAAAAGCTTAGCATTGCTGTGAAGCTCCTACCATTTAGGGAGGCAAGCTGATTGTTGGAATTCCCATAGTTTCCAGAAAGCTTCGTTAGTGCCTTATTGAGTTGTTCTTGATTTTCAATTGCTACTAAGTTTGTAATAACATTTTATTTTTGTTAGTTGTTAGGGTCTTTTGTACTTGCTCTACCTCACCATTTGGGTTGCTATTAGTTGGGTGCTCTTTTCTCAAATGTCTCAGGAACCCCTCAGTGGCCTGGCAAAGCACATGACACACAGGTATGGTATGGAAGTGCAAGCTAACATTTATCAAGGCTCACTAGTGCCTGAACATTTTCGAAGCCTGTTGGTTGTATGATTAATGTAATTGTCAATGCAATTGTCAATGCAACCTAAACTCCAGTTTCCTCAAACCCTTCTAACCTTCTAGATCAAGTCTCTGTTTAAAAACATCTCACTGTTTGAAAGAATTTACTTTTTCTCTCAATATTTATTTGTATGTGTGTGTGCATATGTGGTTTTTGTTTGATTGATTGATTGATTGATTGATTGAGGCAGGGTCTTACTTGCCCAGGATGGAGCACAGTGCCCAGGATGGAGCAGAGCCCTCTTGTCACATTTCACTTTTTTGCTTTTTCCTGAATCATTTAAAAGCAAGAGATTTTAAAGAAGAGACTGACACTTCACTACTGAATAATTTCATATACATCTCCTACAAATAAGGGTATTCTCCTATAAAACCACAATGCTTTTATGACATCTAAGCATATACAAAATTGTACCATATTTAATTTCTAGTCTATATTCAAATTATCAAATTATCCAAAAATATCTTCCATAAATTAATTTTTCAGCTAAGGTCCAATTAATGTTGACAAATTGCATTTGATGAGTTCTACCCTACCTTTTAATTTAAGACATGGACGTTTTGAAAACTCCAGGCCAGTTGATTGTAGAATATGCCTCGTTTTTTATTTATCTAATTAACTTTCTCAAAGTGTTGTTAATTTTTCTCTTCTATCCCTTGTATTCCCCATATAAGCTAGAAATTAGATAGAAACCGTTGATTAGATTTGTACTCACTATTTTGGTGAGGTTAATCCATTGATAACGTGTACTTCATGTTGAATCACGTGAGAAACTACATAATGTCAAGTACTCCTTTTATTGATTAGGATGTTTGACTTGTTTATTTTGTTAATACGATAACTGCTGGATCTATCCATTATAACAGTAGATTTTTCCTTTTGTAATTTATAATTACTGTGTGGGGTGATTGTACTTGTTTTTCCATTCTTGCTGTAACAAATGACTTCAAATACAGCAGCATAAAACAAAACAAATTATCATCTTGCAGTTCTGTAGATTAGAAGTCCAAAACGGATCTCAGGAGGCTAAAGTCAATGTGTTGGCAGGACTACATTACCTTCTAAATGCTATAGGGGAGAATCAATTTCTTTGGATTTTCCAGCCTCTAGAGGCCACTCACATTACTTGGCTCTTTCCTCTGTCTTCACAGCCAGTGGTGGTCAAGTCCTTTTCAAATCACATCACTCTAACCATCTCTCTGTCTCCTTATTCCAATTTTAAGAACCCTTGTGGTTCAACTGGATCTATTTAAATAATCCAGTGTAATCTCTTTATTTTAAAATCAAATGACAAGGTATTATAATTCCATCTATGACATTAATCCCCTTCTGCCATGTCACCTAACATATTCACTGGTTCCAGGAATTAGGACACAAACATTTTTGGGGAGGCCATTATTCTACCTTCAACATGATATTTTGGTGTTGTGCAAATAACCTGTTTCCCAGCAACATACCACTTGATAGTTTTAACTTCCATTGATAATCCTGGGTTTTGTCAGTAATTGGGTGATGCAAGCATTGGTGATCTACTTATATTATTCCTCCTACAGTTATGAGCTAGTATTCTTCCTTAAAGAAATGTTCTATATTATCTCCTCTATCTATCTGTCTTCCTTTTTAATTCACTATAGGCTCTTGGGTTTTTAAATTATTATAATAAATTGATGTATTAATTTTGTTAATGTTATAACTGCTGGATTTGTTCATTGTAATAGAAGTTTTTTTTTATAATACGTTATCACCGTTTTTGGTTTTGATCTACCAAATTTGGCCAGTGGGAGTCCTGTAAATCAAGATCCTATGTCCTTCTGAGATATGCCCTTATTTTCTGTTACAAGCACATGCTACAGCTCACCTTGCACTTTCTCTGAAGGAGATGTGAAATCAGCTGTTCCCTCACCCTTCTATTCAAAGACAGCAGTGGAACTTAGAACTCAAGATTTGAGTGTTAGGTGCATTACTGCTACTGGGATATTAAGGTTTTTAGGCTAGGAATGAATAGATGCAATAGATAGATAGATAGATAGATAGATAGATAGATAGATAGAGTCATGTATAAACCATGAGTTTATATGGATATTTCCAATTCAAAGTTAATATTAATATTGTAGTGTTTTGCTCAATTTTTCCTAAATTTTGTACTTTTTTGTGACAGTGAAATTCTTAGTTTCTAATCCTACAATATGGAAAAAACATTCAAAATTACAATCAGCAGTGATCTTTCTGTGTATATTTAAGATTGACTTTTGATTCTCTCTGTTCTCAGAATATACCTCATTAAAAACCTATAGTCAGAGTAGTGTTCAAAAATTACTTGGAAGAAGTATTTCTTCTGTGTTGTTATCAGTTGTATAAAAAGTTAGGTTTATTTTTCTATTTTATTCAATTTTATGGTGATTTTTTTCTTTTTGATTTAATATCATGCTGTGAATGTGTAAAATGTTTCTGTCATTCAGAAGTTAAACCTACAAGAAAGGTGTCCTCTGTCAAGTTTCTCCCTCATCACTACCACCTCCACCCTTTTCCCTTTCTTTTCCTCTTTTTCTTTTTCTTTCTTTCTTTTTTTTTTTTTTTTGAGACAGGATCTCACTCTGTCACCCAGGCTGGAGTGCAGTGGTGCGATCTCTGCTCACTGTAACCTCCGCCTCCCGGATTCAAGAGATTCTCATTCCTCAGCCTCCCGAGTAGCTGCGATTACAGGCACGTGCCCCTGTTTCCCTTTCTATTGAGAATTTTCTTGTGCATTTGCTGATAATCCTTCAAATATTTCTCTTTGGAAAAATAATGTACACATATATAACCTTTTATTTTTTACATTAAAGTAGCTCACTACTGTTATATACTTTGATTGTTTTACCTAAAAATATATCCTAGAAATCATAAAGTGGATTCTTTGTTCTTGTCCTGACACAGATGTCATAATTTTATGGGGTAGATACTATTACTATCAGCATTTTGCAGATGAAAAAACTGAGGCATAGAAAATGAGTAACTTGCTGAAAGTCATTCAGTTTGTAGGTAGGAAGGGTGTGGACCTAAGTAGTCCGCTTTCTGAATCTGT